ATTCTGTAAGAAATATGAGGAGACAGTTTAGAATTGCATGTTCATGTTGCCAAATGAATAGACGCTGGAAAACAGATTTGAAACATGACTGACAGTTAGAGGTTTGCTAGTAAACTCTTCTGGAAATGCTAGATATTTTTTTGTGCAATGCCATAACTCAAGCTTCTGTCAAGGCGCGGAGTGTTTCACACCTACTGATCAAATAAAGAGGGGATTTCTCAACTACACACCTTCGTCCACAGAGCCGACTGAGCAGTCACCTTCAAGAGGAGGTTCCTGGTAGTCAAGCGGCAGAAAACGATGAGGAAGACCGACACAGGAACGACGGAAGCGAAACGTTTAAACACTTTAAGTACTCTGTAACTAGTGGTTTCGTGTTACCGATAAAATGTAATTTATCGGTTAAATTCTGACTGGGTTTGGGCGGCATTCACAAATTCTACTCATTTACAATGCTCACTACCCCTGACAAGACGTAATTTATACTTTGTGCTGACTCCAAATAAGTAGCAAGAGTAGTGAGAACGGTCGTATTTTCAATTGCGCCTGATGAATTGGACATTAGGATTCTGTGAAAAGCACTTCATATGACAAGGAGTATTTTCAGTATCAGGTTATGGAAATGTGATGTTTAAGCAGAGAGTGTGGAGAAGTGAAGGGCTTGCTAATTGGGACGTCAATTTAAGAAATAAGTTCCTGAGCCTCTCCGTCATCTTCACATTCAGTGAGTGCGTCGGAAGGAGACCTGTTCGCCTCTAATAAAAATGGAGAATGAATAAGAATGCAGCATGCACATTGATATAGCTGCAGTTAGAACGAAAAAGACCTTTTCAAAAGAGATGCGTCCACTCTCAACGACTATTTTTCCAGCAACTAGCGAATTGTAGAGTATGCAATCCGAATTGCTGTGTGTTTTAGCTGTTTGCAAGCTTCCGTGCAGTCACAAATTGGAGAAATCCGAGGAAGCAACATCAAGTCGTAATTCAACGTGTGCTAACAAGGCGTGTGGTGGGTTGCAGATTGGAGAGTGTTGATGTCCGTAGAAGCATCGTGGCCCACCAATTTGACAATCCTCATGGTAACCTAATTAATGTTAAAGTATGGTAGTGAGTCACTATTCGCAGAGCAACATGCCCAAATGGAGTGTAATGAATTGTACTTTTGACGATAGCCACGAGAATGGCACAAAACACGTAGGAAAATGACCACCTCATTCGCTGAGCACCTAATGAGGATATGAAATTTTCAAATGAAATTCAATGTTGACGATAGCGGTGTCAAAGTGATGATAGGACATTGACCAGAAGGCATCCAAAACCACCAAATGGAATTCTGCATTTAAACCAATGCAAACCTTCATCAGTGTTAGCTACACTGGCTTGATTAGCTTTGTCGGCAGATCGAAATAGGTAGACGAAGTTAGAATAATTAGAAAGTATCATAATCATGTAAGCTTAAAGTGGATTATGCTGCTCAGACAGGCGACCCCAATTAATCATTATCATATTTGGTGAAAGAACTAGACCGAGATCTGAGAAGCCACAGACAGCTGATTGTAACTGACGGGACTGAAGTGGCTGAACGTGTTTTCACAACGAAATTAATTTGTTAAAGTTGGTGCAATTTTGAGGTTTTATTCACTTAGTGATTATCTATCCCACGATAGGTAACGTTGATCAACATTTGCCATAAAACAGTGTGGGGTGGAGGAGAGGCAATGTATCACCTCCACTGTAAAAACCAACATGAAAGGCTGTTACATGGAAGTGACCAGCAGTTGGCGGTCAGTATCTCATCTGGCTTTATCGGTGCATGAAACGCAGCCCCAGTTATACCAATTAAGCTCTACCTATCAACACACAATCACGAACTCATGGAAACTGCGTCTTCATTAGTGCGTTTGCTTAAGTTAAATCCAACCGGCAGAAAATGCCACGATTAAATGTTGAAAAAATATTGTCTGCGAAGTACGTAGTTTGACAAGGTGGGTTCTTTGAAGAGTCTCTATGGGTGTTTCAAGTGTGATTCCGCGTTGAAGTTTGAGGTGTTATATAGGCGAAGGACGGTGCCTGGAACGAAGCGGAGCATCATCGACGTTACTTTAAATGATTTCGCCTCAATCGGCAAAATGCTCAGAAAGTGTAACAAAACGTACTCAGGCAATTCGTTTACACTTGGCCTTCGATAAAATGACATGCTGAAGACGATAACATGGTCCCGGAAAATTCAAAGAACACGTTTTATCTATTCGGGTGACACATAGGTGGCACGAAAATTAAGCCACGTTGAAACTCCGGCCTGTCTCGCAACCTTTGATTAGTGAGTAGAGGCAATAGCATTCGCAGAAAGATGAACTACGTGGAATTGCAGTCCGCAGGTGCGAGAAGCCCTGCAATTTGTGGCCTTGGCAAATCACTTATTTATATGAGACACGGCCAACTCCTAGTTGGCATTTCAAAGTGCATGTGTGGATGCACCAATAACCACTTTATGTGACTGCGTCCAAATCAGACGTCTGGCGAGCAGACCGTCGCGCCTGGGTGCACTCGTCTACACTGACAAAATCGATGATGGTGGAGTGGAATAACCTGTCGAATTAAACCGAGATTTTACGTTGTCAATCATGGTTCAGTAACAACGTTTAACTTTGGGAATGTGGTTGCGGAATATTTGTAGCCATCTCAATAGGGCTCTGTGAATTTTCGTCTAGACGACAAACTTGATGGTTGTACCTTGAATGTGGCGACAGAAGAAGCGAGATCAGGCTACTGGCATTAGACCGGTTTTAGTACTAGTGTTTGCGAAGGTGATGGAAATTTCCTGTTCCCCGACCGACCACGGTTATTGCAGACGTCGGTCGGCAATTCCTCGTAGAAAGGGGGATACGTGTTTATTGCATGGGTAGGCTGGCGTCTATAAATATGAGATAAATCTTCTCTATTTTACTGTCTTCAAAACACTACATTCCTTTTGACAAACGAACGGAAGGCCAATATTTTGCATCCAATTCTGATGGCTCTTTAGTTTGTTGTGGTAATTTAGAGCTTATCAAAGATCCACTAACTTTGGTTAGTTTGCATACTCATGGCGCTGTAAATTCCTCTAGTTCCCTTGGTCAAACCTTCGAACTTGCTGTTAGTTAACCAATTTTGGTGATTCCAAATTAAAAAGTTGCCTAACCGTGTGTAACAACCAAAAGCATCTAGTTGAACGTCAACCGACACTTACCTTATTTAACTGAGAAGAGATGCATGGCATTCTTCTCATGGGTAAATTTGCCTTGAAGGTGGAATGTACAACAGGGTGAGGACGTTTGTGTCTCCGCTAGCACCTATGACATTCGTGCTGGCAGCAGAGAACACAGCAGACTGCTTCGTCGGCACTCGCCTGCTGCCAACATTCTACCGCATGTCTAGACCCGTGCCACATTCCACTCCAGTGGTGTTGCCTTCAGTTAGGTCGCCAAAGAAGCGTGACCACTTTGCTACACCCAACGCTAATGACCTGTGCCTCAAATGAGAGGATACTGAAGTCGTGCTATGGAGGACGCAGGTCTTCGGACTGCGTTAACCCCGATTATTGTCAAATCCACAGTCCTTGTCCCCAGTCCTCCGACCATCTATCCAAGATCCCAATGACACTGTTGGCATTGCTGACGTAAACAAGAAAACCGTGTCACAATTCTGACTTGATTATTCAGCCTTGGTTAGCAATTTTCATCTCGATTCGTGATTTGTGAAAAATTGCGAATAAAAGGTTTTGTGAATACTTGTTTCATCAACACGATGCTATTGGTACAATTTAGCATTTGTCTTGATCAATAAACAGTCATTTTGTCTTGTGATTAAAAAAAATTGCTGAATGACTCATTTATAAGTCAATTTATCTAATATACTCTAATAGTCTAAAATTGTTTTCAAAGTCTTTGTCACAAACACTGATGATAATCTACATTTCGCTATTTGCTACATCTTGGGGCTATAGGGTAATCAAATGGGACTTGCTTTTCATGATACCGAATGCCAATCTGTCCAACTCACAGTTTCTGATGAATGTTTATGTGTTCACTTAGACGACTGGTTCAACAAAATAAACAAGTGATTCCAGATGGCATTTACCAGGGCAGGTCAGGTAACGTCTAAGCAATGGGGAATCTTGAAGTTGGCCATGGGATTTGCAACGTGTGTGCCGTTCGTGACCCTATGAATCGTCTACATCCCATTCAACGTAAAAGTACATAAAATGGATGAAGCTGAATGTAGTCGTCATCCAGTGGGAATTGCCTAGGTTAGTGATTTTAAACGATGTAAAAGATGATATTCCTGGTTTTAGAAGCAATTAAGGTTAGTTGTGAGCCGAGACACGATCAAACGTGTTTGCATGATTAGTGGTGAATCTGTGACGGATTCTGCATGGAATATCGACCGGGCGGGTTATCAAGGTGCAGTCCTAAGCTTTCTAGCATCAGGAATCATGAAGGACTGGTTTTCGGTTTTGCTTTGCAGATGAAGAGTTAAATGCAATTTTCACGCTGAAGAGAAGACGTCCGATTTTCAGGAAGATAAGGTAAAGCAAAATTTGCCTTGTAACGAATTGTGTTCAATCGCGACGTACACTGGAAATTTCAACAAATCACACCTCTTTAAACACACCGCCTGCCACCCAGGCGCCATAGTCTGATCATGACGATTCTCTTTGTTCAGATACCTCCTTCCTCCCTCCCCTCACTAACGCTTCTCTCGTTCGGCCATTCAGTCAATTAAACCCCAGCAAACTTCCCAAACGATGCGGGCCTACAAATACACCAATCATGTGCAGCAACACAATTACGTGGAACCATCTTCTGACCCCCTGTGTCACCTCCGTCTTCGGTATCCTTGATCCTCTCTGGAATCTGGACAATTCAACAACGCGTCTCAGTTCTGGGTCAAGACCGCACGAGCAAGGATGCCAAAAATAACTAGTGGACACTAAATCTCAAAACGAAATTTCATTTTTAAATGGCTGAAATTTCTGTACTACCTGCCATTCAACCCGTCAGCATCCTAACGGTTGCGGCCAGCCACTTCCGCAGCCACTGGATGTGCCTCTACCACATCTGCTCTCCCTACGCTTACCTGGTACAGCGTAGTATTTACTGCGGCGGCCTCGGCGTGACTCAAGTTGATATGGAAGACGTGAATGTACAGTGCGACCGTGATGCAACGTTTTTTTTATTTAACCAGCAATTGCCAACACGCAGTGCTCACCCGTCAGCATGGCGAAAAATTAACTCTTAAATCGGCAAACAACGGAAGCAGAGATTCGCACAAAACTCCAATTTTAACAGTCAAATACAAGGAGCCAGTGATAGGAGGTGTTACAGACACTCCTTTTCTCACCTGGCTTGTGTGGAGCCCACTGCGCACCCCCTGTCGTCTAGCATAGACTGCGGTAACCAACGCACGGTCATTACTCCCATGTGCTTCTTTGTCCGTTTGGTCAATCTGATCATCTAGACGAAAGTTCTCAGAGCGCAAACCGGACGGCTAGCAATGCCACTCGTGTTCATTTTGTAATAGAAAGGCAAAACCACAGTTTTAAGGGACCGATTAGTTAGACCAAGAGGACGGGTTGAGCAACTTGCGATGACAGTACATGTCTGGTTAAATTTAATTTCATTAATAAATTTAAATCGGCACAAAACTGAAGCATAGAATTGCACAAAACTCCATTTTAACAAGCGTTGTCAAAATATCCCGAGTTTTACATTTGCTTCGAAGATATAGCCATAATTCTCCTGCAATGCCTACCACCTAATCAGCCGGGTAACCCAGCCACCCCTCAGAACGCTGCGCTGATTGGCTCACATTGTTGAGCAAACATTTCAGCGCATCGCATAAAAAGATTTGTGGGATGTAATGGTAAGCATTCTGAACACAACATGGGAATTTGCATTTTCAATTCTCTGGACTTTAACATCCGGATTTCGTCCATCTCGATGGAATCTATTTGCTATTTTTCAGTGTCATTGGTATTTATGAACATTAGTTGTGATATTGCTCTCCCCTCCTTTCTCCGTATTGATCCATTCCATTTTGAATTTAGCATTGGTCTTACTCTAATGGACTACTGAGACAGTATACCTTACATGCTCTATGACTTGTGTTGTCTTGACTTAACGTGGGCAGACTGTGGCTCATACGTGTCATGTGTAAGTGCTAGTGAGGAGAGGTTATCAGGTGCTAACGAAGGGTTTCGATAATCTGTGCAGAGCATTATGGATGTGTGTACCGAGGAGCATAAGTTTACTTAAGCAAACACTGGCAACTGCTTTCTTGCACTACCGTTAGCTAGGAATAAAGGCGGGAATTTGCAGAAGCTCACTTCCTTTTTGTGTTCCTTATTCAGGTGATGTTGGGTGTTACTGTTTTGTAACATCTTTCAGTAGGCGTTCGGGGTAACGCAGTGGTGGACCGGCGAGCTCGAGGAGGAAGTGTCGCGAATGTTTCTTTTAGACCCTTCCGAAAGAAACAACGTCATTCCTCCCACACATAACCACGAGTACTTAGATGTGTCTTTAGTCGACACCGGTGGGATAACCCTAAATGGTAATAAGCGATTTTTAATGAACTAATTTGTATTGTACTGGTCAAATTAAAATCTTTGGCAAAATGTTAACAGGAGTGGAAAGAGACGTAGATGCCAGAGCTCCTTCGATAGCTGAATACGGTAAGAACGTTGTACTGTAAGGTGGCGTGATTTCCAAACAAAAATTGCATTTCTTTTTTCTGAAATACACATTTTGAAAGTTTACGTGTCAGATGCAATGAAGGCAAAAAAAGCTTACCTTTCGAATGCCTCTACGACGCAGTGTAGTGTAGACGAATTCTACTGTGCTGGATTTCCACGTTAGTGTAAAACTGCAGTTAGTAGTATTGATTCATTTAATTCTATTAACATTGCAACTTAGGGACTGATGCTGAGGTGAGGCTTTCAATGTAATTTAGATAGTCAGCTGCAAACGGTGCTTCTGCTTTATGTTTCATCGCTTAAAATTAACGTAGTAGAAATCGTAGCAGTTTGCCATGGTGACCACTAACTCAAAACTAATGAACCTTTTATCGAATCCTTAGAAACTAAACAGTTAAGGTTTGTTATTAATCATTTAGAACAAACCACACTGCTACCACATCAAAAATTATCTTTTGAAAGACCATCATGGCTAACGCGCAAATTCTCCTTTATGAGTTAATGAGGATCAATTAACATTGGTGCATATTGTCGAGAACAGAATTTGCTAAAAACACCCTCGTCAGTGGATGCAAAACACAATAAACCATTGCGACTGTGTGGTTGCTGTACTAAATGCAGGTCTTCTGCAAGATTGTTGTTGCTGTACCTGAAATTAAGCAAATCGAAAGGCGCCAGCCTTCCGTCTGTTTTAGTCACTTGCCTTGTGTCACCTGGTCAGCTCACTGGGTCGTCCACATTGCAACGCCGCGTGTCGGAGACGTAGGTGGGTAAGCGAAGGGTCCGACCCCAAGGTGTGTTCAAAGTTGATTAAATTTGTCCGGTGTTGTTCACGTCGACAATGGTGCAAAATTCACTGACACATCAAACTCCACGTAGGTGATTCTGGGTGAAACTCATTTACATCCCAGGCGTGCTTATTAATGATTTAGATTTGGAATTACGGTGGACAGAGAGTAAATTTGGCAGGCCTCTGGTAGCTGTCCGGTTAATTGGCAGAAGCCGAGTCCGCTTCACCTCTGCGCTGATGCAGCACGGTGCAAAGTCAGCTTAAGCATCGTTAAAAAAGCAACAACTGGAGAGTATTCGTGAGGCATGCCCAAAATACGGCACGCATTAGTTTCGACATTAGTGTAGCTTTCAATTGAAAGAGGTGGTGAAAATTTAGAGGAGATTATTTGGAACATACCACTGATGTGTGTCGAGGTGACAGGAGCACAAACGCATATTGTCGAGTAGACTGAATCTAAACAGGCATGGAATTGAATCTGCTTTTACAGGCGTGTGCCGCAGATTACGGTGACAGTTTCCTTTCAGCGTTCGTAAGGTATTAGAAGAGACTTTGTCAGAGTTGTCGGTATCGAAGTGATGATAAGACAATGCCCAGAAGGCAACAAAGCCCGATAAAAAGGATTCTGCATTAGAATCTATGCTAATCTTCACCAGTGTTAGATGCATTGTCTTGATCAGTTTTGTCTAATTGGAGCACATCCGTCGCAGACGTAAACACGGCAGATCGAAAGATGTGGAAGAAATAGGATTTGTCATACGACAGGCTTAGATTCAGTTGAGCGCAAGATGGCTTATGTTGCTCGGATGAGTGTTCTCAATTAATTTGCATCATATTTAGTGAATAGATTTGACAAAGACCCCAGACAGCTGATTGAAACTGATTGCACTGAAGTGACTGAGCGCGTTTTTTCAACGAAATTCATTTGTTAGGGCAGGATTAATTTTTAGTTTTTATTCATTTTTGATTATCTTGCCTACTTAAGGCTTTGTTGACCAAAATTTGCTATAAAACAATATTGGGTGGAGGAGAGGCGAATTGTCACCTCCACCGCAAATACCAACATCAAAGGCTCCTGTAATTGGAAGTGACCAGCAGTTAGCGGTCAGTATCACATCTGGCTTTCTCGGTGCATGCAACACAACTTCGTGTAATATCAATCAAGCTGTATTTATGAACCCGCAATCATAAACTCATGGAAACAGCCTTTTTATTAGAATGTTTGCTTAAACCCAATCCGGCCGGCAAGTAAATGTTGTAATAGTACTGTCTTTGAAGTATGTAATTCGACAAGGCTGCTGAAATCAAAACCAACCTGTTGGGCAGTTTGGACAAGTCGCTCATCCAGGTTGACTTCAATCATGTTAATCGAAATTGTGTTAGAAACGGACGTAGCAGCGGGCACACCACAACCGATTTTGTCTGTTACTGAGACCCTGTCCTGACGCACATTCAGCGTTGGCACATTTAATGTTCACTGTTATTTCTCGCATTCTGTAAACGTTTTCGGCTTCAATCTGCATTTATTAAGGAAATTCATGAGAGAACTGACTTTTCTGTGATTGTGCATGATGCAGAAACTGCAACGTTGCAGCATAAAACGTCAAGATTCATTACAGCTGCGGATAATATTACCATAATTTTTTTCTCTCAGCAAATTTGAAAGTGCAGTTTATCACACGCTGCACTCAAGATCTGAACAAGGATGGAAATAGGCAATTACTTGCATCATTGGAAATGCGACCATGCTGCGTCTCATTGTCTGTACTGCATGCAACCACACAGATTTTGAATTAAATGTTTTGACTACATTTGAAGGTCACGGTCAATCTCCTTTTAATGAGCTCCTGGAGCATTAAATACCTATTAGTAACAAAAACGAATTATTACTTTCTGCGTTTGGATTGGTTCAAGAAAATCTCACATGCAATGCGACCCTAATAGTGCTCTAAGGATGGCATGCGCAGGTCTTCTGCTGTCAATGTCACTATTGCTTGGTCGTGCCGTTGCTAATTGCCTACAAGAGACGCGTTCGTCGAAAGTCCTTTGTTCATGAGATAAATCATGGAAAACTAGCAAAGACCCTAATTAACAAGTTACGCAACACTGGTTTAATTGGCCTACTCTTCTGTTTACAACTACCAAATTGTCCCTCGGTTGTTACAAGGTCGGTTTGAAAGAACCAATTAAAAACAACTATTCGTGAGTGAGGCAGTTGGAAAATAGACATCAATGTGTCAAGCATGGTTCCATAAACCGAAGCAGGTGTGATTTGTCGCAGTTTAGGGTGATGCTTGTCAGTACCTGAGACTAGAGCGGTCATGGCAACAATATTTCAGGAACCCGAATCCCGCAGATTGACCGGTGAACATTCTGATTTGTCTCCTTTGTATCAGTTGTACGTCTACACCAATGGTGAAGGCCTTCCTCCACTGTTATGCCGAAATCAAGTGACAGGAACCATTTCTTATTCCGACCTATGGATGAACCTTGAAAAGATCTAAGAAGAGGTTCGACCTTCGAAGCCATCGAACTCAACAGGTTCAAATTAACTGTGGTGCATGCAGTCTGAACTACGGATAGTCGCAAAACATGCGACTTTAGAATATGATAAATTAACGAGCTTACAGTTCTTTATTGCCACATTCACACAATCGTGGACGCTGCGCGATTATTGTTCACGAAGGGTGGATGCTATTAAAAGGTAAGGTCATGGAGATACAGCTACCATCATCATGCATCCTACGTGACATATGGATTAAATTGAAGCTAAGAATCATTGGGAAGGCAAGATAAGTGAGCTTAATCTCGTGTCCTATGACTGGAAGTTACGTAAGTCGTAGAAAATCCTATGATGAAATAAAACTGATTATGCCACACTTCACTTATTGAAAAAAGGTTCTTTCGAAATTACATTAATTTTTTTAGCATTGTCTGATATTCTTTCGACGTTATGAACTTAAAGAAAAAATTCGACAAGATCCGAATGTCCTTATGAATGTTCCATGGGCCTCCCAGCATGCTTCGAAGATGTGAATTGGGAAACAACCCTAACGGTAAACATAGGATGGCTTGTGAAGATGGTCCATTAACTCTTGGATAATTTAGATCCGTACAACTGGGAAAGGGATCATGCTGCAGCTTATTCACTGAGTAACAAGAGTCGTAGATTTCCTGCTACACAGGGATGGTACAGCTAACCCATGGACCTCGTTGACAGACGTACATAGGGAAGGTAGGGGAGTAGAGCGCAGAGTGAGATTACCTCAAGCTGAGTCATATTGTGAGGTAAACCAGTGGGTTAACGACCGGGAGAGCAGTTAAGGTAGTTGAATGGCAAAGTTGTGTGGACTTTGTCAAACATATTTACTAAATCCACGGAAGAGGTACGTGGGAGTGAAGCGTGGAAATTCAGGACACAATGGGCTAAACAGTTAACTGCTCTTGAGTGTTTGAGGCTGATGCTGTTTGTTTAGCGTGAATTTCGAGTGTTATGCCATGGATCTTGCGGCATCAATGGCTTTATTTATTGCAGTATTTTTTCATCTTCCATGCTGCATTACCTCTTCGTATTTTAGTTCTTCCTAGGCGCATTAATAAGGACTAGGCAGTGGAGGTCATCAGTAAATCAAGAACGCCCCCACAATTGCAGACAGGAGACACAATGTTAGACTTCAGGCACATCCGCAGTTAATTGTTGTGTTGTGCGCTAACACACTGTCTTCCCCTACATCGTTACTTGACAAATGCTACACGCAGTCCGAGACGCCGTGCACTTGATAATCTAATTGAGACCAGCGTTAAATGCAGGTCATAAATGTGAGAGGTTTAGTGTGCTGAATTAAGAGTGATTAATGGTCTTCATTGACAATGCAAGGCACAAATTCGTTCGTAACACTCTGCTGTGTATTGTAACGAACAATCAGGATGACGCTCTGGATAAATTCACTTTCGCAAACTCGGATGTTCAACACTTTCTACTTCTATTTTGCATGGCTATTCAGCTAGTCTATATAGAAATGGATAGGGAGCAAACTGGTGGGCTGTCGATGCCAAGCAATGACGATAATTAGCGCCACGCGGTAGCGGACTTCGGTGTCCTGTAACTTGAAGCGAAGTTCATTGTCTACAGATTTGGCAAGGTGTTGAAGATCCTCACAGAAGCCTTTGGAGCCGAATATACAGAAAGCCTGTTTTCTACATTTAAAG